AGTATATACACGCATATATGCAAGATGTGTGCTCCACCCTGCGCCCGCCTCCCGTTGCTCTTTAACTCGAGCTTTGGGTCTAAGAATGTGGCCTAATTGAAGCCTTAAGCAAAGTTTGTCCTGATATAATTAGTCAAATGGTTTCGGTTTGGAGCACTTCAGGAACGCACACACATTTACACACTTACACGCACACACACACACACACACACACACGCATGTGCCTACTCATGTCCGACAAAGGCGAACAACTGAGAGCCTAAAGTGTCCCAAAATAGCATTACAAACAAGTCATTTGTGCGCCACTAATAAAATAAAAGCCGACATAATAACAAGAACAACAACAAGAACGAGAGAATCAATGGTCTCTTTGACGACCCAAAATCAAATTAAATCGCTGAAAGGCTTTTAACACAAATTGCAACACTTAATTGAAACGGCTCAGCTTAAACAAGAAAAGAAATTAATTACAAATTTTACTTGCTTCATCTGTTGTCACTCGTCTCATATTTTATTTTCACTTTGATCCCCAGTTGCACGCTTTCAAATTGTTCCTTACACAGCTGCTTGCTTTTATGTTTTCTTCGATTGCCCTTAGTAAAACAGGTGAGAGTACTCGACAGATACCCTGTACGTTTGTTGGCATTGGTCGGTTATAAACACACATCTACAGTTTAATTTCAATTATGATTAAAAGCTGATACAAACCGGCCATGCCCGACATCTTACATTTTTCACGCATTTTCCGACAGGCAGGTGAATTTGGATCGGAAGAAATTAAAAGAACGCTGATATCACTGGACATGCTTTCACAAAACTATCAAAGTCAAGCGGAAGAGAGAGAGAGAGAGAGGGAGAAAGAGAGAGAGAGAGAGAGAGAGAGAGAGAGGGAGGGAGAGAGAGAGAGAGGGAGGGAGAAAGAGAGAGAGAGAGGGAGAGAGAGAGAGAGAGACTGAGAGTCTATATACTATAATATTTTATAGCCCTCAATGCATTTGCCACTTTCCACCTGCTTTGATATGCCTTATTTAAATGCTCTTGGAAAGAGCTTATGTTAAATTTAATTTACTTTTAAACTAGTCGCAATTAAATTAAATTTTATGTCACACAGAGCTACAATCGAGCCGGCAAAGGCAAAAGGCAGTAAAACATTTCCATTACATCGTCGAGTGGGTTAAAATAATACATATATAGAGAGCACATATGTATGTATGTATGTATGTATATATATATATATATATATATATATATGCATGCAATTCGCTGTTATATTCCGTTTCGCTTATTTCTTTCGGTGTAAGGGATAATTTTAAATGGTTTGATGTCCTCCATTAATTGGGGTATTTCTCAGAAATTGGTTTTCATGCGAGCGAGTGCATTTAATAAATATGCGGCCGTCGAGCGGCTAGTCGGGTCGTAGTTCCAATAGGGTTTTCCACATTGTTGTTTGTTTATACTATCAGTAGGGCCAACGGATTGACCATCTGTTAAAATATAGCTTGCATATGACAATAATAAGTTAGTCATACATTTGGACAAGTTATCAAGTATAGCAAACTAATATTTACTTCCATCATGATTGTGACAATGACAATATGCAAATAATTTTCATCTTTGTATCACAAATGTCTACTATCGCTCTAGTTAGTTAAAACTTAAAATACCAAAAACCATTTCGCATCATTAATTTAGAATTGAAATTCACTATCAACGATTTAATGAAATAAGATATAAACATAACGAGCAAGAATGGCTATTTTGGTATGCCGAAGATTTAATACCCTTGTATACCGAACCTTTTCATAGTGCTTTGCTCGTATTTAAGAAGCACAGGGAAAATAGTTGTTGCCGAATATGGTTAAGATATCTAGAATACAAAAAGTTCTCCATTCAACAACTCAACTTTAGACTGATCTTTCCTATGACAACTATTTGATATAAACTAAGAGACTAGCTCGCTTTGAAACAGACAGACAGACGGACATGGCTATATCGACTCGGCTATCAACTGCTGATCAAGAATATATACATATGTATGCTTTTATTTCAAGGCAAAATCATAATACCCTCTGCAAGGGTATAACAAGTTTATGTAAGAAGCCTTCAATCCCAAAAATTATTGCACTCTTCTTATTAATTATCATCGTGTTACTTAGCTTACGATATTTATCAAGGAAAACAACCTGCAACCTCATGTTCGGGATAGTTATAAATCAATAAATATGTGTATTTCTATTTAATTGTTCTTTGTCATACATGAAAATATAAAACAATTATTCATGCATAGGAAAATCAACATTACTAACTAAGAAATCGAAAACAGAATGGGATGTTAACAATAATAATACAAATTGTTCTTTTGATTTGCTCGTGAATGTACACGTTTTTTGGAAATTTAAACATGAGTTTTACACACAAATTTATTAATGACTTCGTCATGAAACAAAACGAAATGTGTTTCAAAATTCAAACTTCCATTTTGATGTTGGGGCAGGGGATGCAGGGAGTAGTTCAGGCGGTAAGTATTTAAGGAAAAGCTATTCCAATTAAATTTAGAAATTGAGAAAGTTTATGTTCGCTTGTGCCTGTGAATTGGTCACTTGAATGGAATAATCAAATAGATAACAGCAAAAAGCTGACACCACAGTCTGTATGTGTGTGTGTGTATATGTTTGTGTGTGTACGCGCTTTGGGCAACTGGTGGAAAATTCGACACCGTCGCAAGGCAAATCGCTCAGCAGCGGTTTCTACAATTTCAACGGTTGCCTGGTGCTCGCTTTGGAAGGTGGTGGGTGTGTGCTGGCGGAGGTGGAGGGGGCAGGGGGCAAGGTAAAACAAATGGTGTGACCATCGGCGGGGAATAAAGGCGATAGTGCGGAGGTTGGGGGGAGGAGCAAGCGTTAAAGTGACGCATTTAAATGGTTCTTGTTGCTGTAGCTGCTATCGGTTTGCCACAATACATATGAAACGTGTATGTATATAAACATATATACATATACACATGCATATACATATGCATATATATATACATATAATGCTATTGCTGTGCGTTTTCATTATATACATATATATATACATTATTTTTGTTGTTTTGTTGATGCTCGCTCTGCTCGCAATTTTCGCGTGCTTGGCGCGTTTTGTTTTGTTGCTTTTTCAATTTTTCAGGGCGCGTCGTCATCGTTGTTGGTGGTTGGTTCCATTTGACGATTTCGTTATACCCTGTACCAATTGAAAAAATTGAATTTGCAAGGACTAACCTATCTAGTCCTATCCCAGTCAATTTTTACTGAATAGTAAGAATTATTGAATTTTTGTTCTATCAGCTTTTTATTTTATTTCTCACAAAATATAGAGAGTAGAAAAGAGCATAGCCGCAGCTCGCGCCGTATTTGTGTGTGTACTGGAGAATCGGTTACAGGGTATCTGCTGATCTTGCACCCTTATACGTCCGGCCGCACAACCTGTGGCATTCGCGTGCCAAGTAATGGCCATAAATCGCCCAGCTGGCCCAAAACAAAGCATTGCCGTCGGCCAACATTGTTCCAACATTCGAAATTCAAAACGATCGTCCACCACGACCCCTCCCCTCTGCAGCGCCAAAATGTTCATAGATTTAATTTCTAAAAAAACATATAGTTGGCCTTCTGAAGTTGACGCACATACGAATTGCCATCCCATCCCTTAAGTTGAATCTGAGCGAAACATGAACCAATACCAGCCTAGGACCAAAACCAAAAGGGATCCAAACGCAAATCTCGATCCTTAAAACAAGAACGAGCGCCATATTCCGCACATATGAGGCGAAGGAATAAAATTAAAAATTAAAAGAAAGCAAATTTCGAGTTTAACTTAATGAATGAACTCTGGCTGAGCTGGGATATTGGGCGGGCGAGAGCAATACTTGAAATAAAAAAAAATAAACAATTTTACAGGGTACATTGCTAAATTTCTACCATGCCTATCGATATTTATCGATATAAAAAAGAAGGGAAAATCGTTAATATTGCAATGTTTATATTTTTAACATGAATCAAAACTTACAATGGTTTCGATTCCACTAATTTTCCACACTTGCTAATTAGTGGAAGCAGAAGTATGAAGATTTTTATTTATCTCATAAGCTACGAGGCCGTATTCAAGCCTCAAACATTTTAACCTCATTAAAAGTAGTCTCACATATATCGGAAAATCCGTCAGATGGTCGGGAAATTGTTGAAACACCCTACGGCACGTGCTTGCCACGCTCTCTATTGGATTGGCATGTCGATTCCTCGTCTTTTCGTCGGTTTATTTACCCCTGATTGCAATTATGCATTTTCCCATTGCTCCTTCTCCGCCCGCTGTAATTTCCACTTCCTCTCCAACTGCTCCACAAGGGCGAAAGTCATTGGAAAGCTATTTGCAAGCCGAGCAGCCCCACAATAACAAAACAATTGTGACTCGACGGGATGACTGATGTTGTCCTGATGTCCTGATGCAGCTTCGTTATTGTCCACGAAAATGAGCGCAAAGTAAATAACGAATAATGAATGACGAATTCCGTCGAAGGCCCAGCCCAGTAAGGAATAAAAAATCGCAAAAGGAAGACATGAATGTTCCGGTTAGGAGATACCCTGTACCCTGTACCGACTAGCTTGCACAAAAACACAAATGTGAGCAAAAGTAAGCATGTCCTTCGATGGATACAGGGTATAGGGATGTATATATTTCTATATATTTTATATATATTTATATATTTATATAAATATATATATATATATATTCAAAACTATCATCACGAATTAAAGGGTCCTAAAGTCGCCCAGACTAAAGCTATTATCATGCTATGTACATATATACCCCTTTCTAAAATGTAATTAAAGAGAACTTTTCGGTTGGTTACATTTTGAGGGTCGGTAATTCAAGAGATGTAAATATAACCGATAATAAATGTTGTTAGTCAAGCACCCATCTGTATTTTGGCGCACATAATTATATAGAGCATATATTTGGATACTTACGGATAAAAGAAAAAGAGAAATGTCGTAAGTAGCAGCACAATCCATGCGAAAGTCGCCGGAATGTAACGGGTTTTCACATCGCATTTGGGCATTGTGTTGCTGCTTTTCTTGCTGTTGTTGTTGTTGTTGTTATTGTTGTTGTTGCTGGTGCAACGTCAGTTGGTGTCGCCGTTTTGGAACTTGTGACGATGATGATAATGATGATGATAGCGGGGATGATGATGGTGATGATGATGATGCTGATGACTGCCGATGCAATAGTCGATAGCTTGATAGCTCGATGACGATGACGATGACGTAGCGATGCCGGATCGTGTGCAACTGCAAGTGCGACAGACAGAAAACAACATAAGAGACGTAGAGGCGAGACGAGGCGAGGCGACGCGTGAAATGGGATCAAGTGAGCGATTGTTGTAGTTGCTGCTGTTGGTGTTGTTTTTCCAGCTTCAGCTTCAGCTTCTCACTGTTATTATTTGCTAGCGTTGTGTTGTTGCTGGCTGCGAATTAGGCGGTGTTATAAAAACACATCGTCACACACACACACACACACACACAGACGCTCGCACGCACACATACAGGCACCTACACCCACACGCACACATATACACAGCGTGGCGGCGGGGCAAGCGGCAAACGCGATTTTTGCTTTATCCAAATGAAAACTATTTGAATTGTTTGTTCTTGGCGTTAGCTAACATCGTTGTTGTTGCTGCTGCTGTTGTTGTTATTGTTGTTGTTGTTTTCGTTGCCGTCTTCGCCCTTTTAGTAAATTTGTATGCCGTTAGTACTCCTGTTTTTCTTGTCTTTCTTGTCGCGCCTGTCACCCGTTTTGCTGTCGTTCGATGTTTCTTGGTTCCCACCTTGCGTTCTTTCGTTTCGTTTGCGTTTTTTCTTCTTTCCTGCTGCCGCTGTTGCTTCTTCTTATTCTGGCTTTTTAATGCCTTTTTTACACACACGCACGCACGTTGTTGCTATTGCTGCAACTTTTTTTTTTGCGATATGCCTCGCCGTTCGTTCGCTTCTCTTCCCCTCTTTCCGTTCCAGAGCTAACCGCACCGCTCCGCACACAAACGATGATGGTGGCGTTGCCTGCAATATCGTGCGCTCAACTTTCAGTCGAAAGCCAAAGCCAAATGCGCAAACATCACTTGCGAATCGTTTACTTTATGTTTGCCTTTCATTCCAATTATGCACTTTTGGGTATATATATATTTACGAAAAAATAAATAAAAAAAATAACCACAACAACGCGCTGCGCATAATTTCCTCGCCCGTCGTCTGTCGAAAAAATTGGCTTCTGTAAATGCAATGTTAAAACCAGTACCGACTAACAGTGTGTGAGTGCCTTTTATACTTATCGATAGTATTTAAATCTTACAACACATAATTAATCGAAGACGCGATAGTTGATAATAAAAAAAAAACAATCTCATTTATTAAACTAAGCGTATTTAGATACGATAAATATTAATAATAATGTCCAATAGTTGATTGTAATTTATTAATGCACTTTTCCAATATGAATATCGGATAGTAGCGCAGCAACAATCACATGTCCAAATCAATGCACTCATGAATGCCGTGCACTTACATAGAATTTATCGACACTATTCGATTAATAAACAAGTACAAATTAATAACATTTTACAAGGATATATAAGAATTAACATATAAATAACTGCATTGGATCTTTTTATAAGTTTGAATACTTTAAGTTCATTCAGAAATTAAAACTTTTTCCATAAATGATTCTTACAAAATTGTAGTGGGCTTACACACGTGCAGAAGCTGAGTGCTATTGCACGGTGTGCTTAATATCGTTTTTCTGTTTTACAAATTTGCTGGTAAATTAGTTTGTAAAATATAACTGACTGACTGCTAGCTACGACTGAAAATTTAATATTTTGTTATATTAATAAAACATTTTTGTTTTATGAAAAAATCATGTAACACTCCCTTCGATTGGCTTATCGACTTATTTCTGGTGATGTGTCGATTAAAGCCGGATCATTGTAATTGTTGATATATAAATATTTTTTATAGTAAATCAGAACTTAGAAATAATCAATACAACACAATATAATATATTACAATCAAAAACATCATTGATATATGTCATTATATAGAAGTATCGCTACATATAGTAATGTTGTTTAATTTTTCAATACCGATACATCGCTTTATTTCAATATTTATCAACGTACTCAGTTGAACGGAAACTTTTCAACACTTATCAACAAATGTATTTTCGCTTCTCGCTTTAATTCAGATATCCGAAGAAACATTTTCAGAAACATTGGAAAGAGAAACCTATCATTACTGTTCGATTCAGCACAAAAGCACTGTCAGGGGCAGTGGCTCAGCACGTTACCAAAGTTGTTAAATATCTCCGCCTGTAAAGCTGGCCCGCGTTGTTGCCGACTGAGCTGCAACAGTACTACCGCCGTCTGGCAGACGCCACCGCCCCACTCACAGATTTTGGCCAACATGTCACGTAGTGTGCGCGCCGAGACACGCAGTCGCGCTAAGGATGATATCAAGCGCGTCATGCAGGCCGTGGACAAGGTGCGGCACTGGGAAAAGAAATGGGTGACCATTAGCGATACGACTATGAAGATCTACAAATGGGTGCCCATATCGTCCAACAGCGAGAAAAAGACAAAGCTACAGCTTAACAACAAGATCAGTGACAAGGAGAATTCCCAGAAAGGCACCCCCACTCCGCCGCAAATAACGCCCAGCTACGCCGGCCTCACTGCCGAGGACTCCAATACTTGTGAGTGTGTGGTGCAGCAGTACAGTGGGCTCTAATGTGTCGTGTCCTCATCGCAGTGTTTATCATTTATCATGTTTCCCTTTGCCACTTGCAGGTTTCTCAGTGGTGAGCGACAGTCAGGGAGCTGATTTCGTGTCCAGCATGCCCTTCTCGGAGGACTCCAATTCCCAGGGCAGTGACGGGCCGGTGAAGCGCATAAAAACGAGTGATTAGCTAGACATGCACATTCACACCACATATATCAGCTAAGTACATTGCACACACCCATGCATTGTAGTGTGCCAGCGTGCTGTGAGTGTGTGTATATGTGTATATGTGTGTGTGCGCGTGTGCGCGTGTGGATGTCGTGTAATTTATATTTTTTTCTTAAAAATCTAAGCTAAAATTTACGTTTATAAGTAAGACGATTATCATCTGCCTCACCAAGACTTAAGCAATCCTCCTAAAAGTCTAAGTAAATACAACCTAATTACATACATGTAACTATGCATAACTCTGATTGTAAACATATAAATAATAGTTTAATACACATTTATAATGCAATCCTTTATGCACATAGTTTAGCCTAAGACAGTCTTTTTGTATACTGTAAAACTAACGTTGTAATCGAGCGAACTATTTGTCCCTTATGTCTAGGCCGTAGTATTTAGCACAAATAATTATATCAATTTATTTATTTGCACAAACAATAAACAAACAAACAAAATCTTATCACCGACTGCTTCCAACACGGAATTCCAATTAAACTTTAACTGTGAATCAAACCTTAAAACAAACTAGTCCGAAACAATTGAAACCGAATCCAAAATGGCTCCGTTCAAAATTAAAAAAAAAAAAAACTTTCGATTGAGACACAGTCGCAAAGTGTTAAGCCCTTTGGCCCCTTTGGCATTTATCTAACCATATTTGATAGATACCAATTTTGGGTTGTGTTCAAATTTAGCCCGCATCTTGTGTATGAAAATATTTAAATAATGTACAATATTTTCAGTGCAGGGGGCAATTGTAAAATAACTGAAACCGAGTATGGTTTTTTTTACATTTTTCTTTTATTATTTTTTATTTTAGTTTTTTTTTTAGTTTTTCTTTTTGTATAATAAAAAAAAATTAATTTCATTCAACAAATAGTTTTCTTTCACTTGACATTAAATATACATACTCTCTTCATATCTTTTCACATTATATATATATATATATAGATTTATATAGATGTAAGGCCAGCCAGGTTGTCTAATAGGCAGATGCCGTCAACTTGGTTGGAAAAGCGTACATATACATACATATTTAGTTCATCTTTCACTAAAATTTATGCTAAAAACACGCTTAACTGAAAGGAAGCACAGATTTGCACGAGTTACAAAACTTTTGATCGACCAAACACATTACATAGAAGAGAAGAATTAAAACATTACATAGTTAAAATATTTAAACAAAAAAAAAAAACAGGTAATTACACACGCAAACAAAGCTTCGCTTTTGTTCTACAAGCAAAATATATTTAAATGAAATATAATAATAAAATATAATAAGTAAATTTAAATACCAAAATTTTAGAGAGGCTGACAAACATCAACATGGATCATGCACTATGGAATGAATGTCTTGGAATGTTTACGCATATAAAACTTAACCACAGGAAAAAAATGCAAATGTAGCACAGACAAAAATTACTTTAAAATATTTAATGTGTGTAATAAAATAAATATTAAATTATACGCATTTAACTACATACTTTCATTTGTTTAAACTTGTAAGCACAAAAGTGTTATCTTCATTATTTCTTGTTGTTGTCGCTTGTTTTGTTTTTATGTTGTTGACATTTATGTTATTAAGCTTGTTTTTTGTTTTTGTTTTTGTTTTTAGAAAAATACACATTTTTCGCTTGAAGAGTTTGTTTTTGCTGTGTTGCTGTTGTGGCTTAGTTTTTTTCTTTTTTGTATTTATTTTTGTTTTGTTTTGCGCTGGAAAAATTACGCTTAGCTTATAAATGATGTCTGCCTTTTGTTTAAAGTTTAAACAAATACAAATTCACATACATACATACATTTAATTATATCGTCGCGTTGGTTTTTGCCTTGTATACATATACACATAGATAGATATATATATATATATATATATAGTTAATATTGTCATTTAGCGTTCAGAAAAATATATTCTATGCCTTTTTACAAATTCATTTTATTTTTTTTTTTTGCATTCTGGCGCAAAAATGGCTTAAAAAAAAACAGTTTGGCTTTACAAAGATTTGTTTAGTTTTTCTTTTCTTTTCTTATTTTGTTTTTGTTTTTTATTTGCTGTGTATGTGTGTGTGTTTGTGTGTATGTGTATCTGACACAAAGTGCCTCTGAATATGGGCCTCAAAATTTGACTCTTAAAATGGTTTTGTTCGGGCGCTTAAATTTAGAGATTCGCTGGCTTTTTTCTTCGGCCGTGTCCTGGGGGCGCTTCAGCTTAGAACCGAATTGGCGCCGCCTAACTTAGTGTACATAGTGTATATAGTGTGTATAGTGTATAGTGTATATGTATATATATATATATATATAAACATATATATATATTTATATATATACATATATATATATAAATAAATTTATATAATAATAATTGCAACAGTTTGATTTTGTTTTTTTTTTTTTTTTTTTAAATTTAACGGAGCGCTCGCTTGCTCTCAATGCGTCTCCGAAGGATATGTTTGCGTAAAATATGTAAGCGCGGACCAGGGTTAGTGAGGCTAGTGAGGGGAGGCAGCGAAGGGGTGCAGCAAATATACATTTACATATGCACATATATATGCAAGTACATACAACTATTGTTTTTGGAATATGTATGTACGGGAAACTTTTCCCAGTTTAGTTCTTGAGCTGGGAATACCCAATCCCATTGCGACAGTAGACCTAGAAGCTGTGGTCTATGTCTCGACATATATCATATATACGTATATATATAAATATATGGATTGATATATCTAACTTTAGACTGTTGTGGTTAGTTTTGTGGTGCCCTCGCTGGCGGTGGCATGCCAAGATTTGTGATGTTTGCTGTGTCCCTGTTGTTGCTTCTGTTGTTGTTGTTGTTGTTGTTGCTGGTGTTGTTGTTGTGTTTGTTGTCGTTGTTGTCGCTGTTGTTGCCTTTGTTGCTTCTGCTGTTGTTGATGTTGGTTGGGTCGGTGCTATGCGTGCAGCGGATAACTGTTGGGCCGCGTCTGCGCCCGCTGCTGACGGCGACAGTTGAACGGTCGCGATACCGCTGCCTGATTTGCTTTATATCAGCACTCTGACTTATCCTCCTCCACCAGATACTGTGTATCCTTGCCGGTGTCTGCTGATGGGTCCAGCTCCCGTGTGCGCAGCTGCAGCTGCGGCGATGACTTGTGCGTAATGCTGCTGGGCGCAATAATAGCCGAGGCGGGCTCCGTAAAGGAGCCAGAATGGCCCATGGCCTTTGACTTGGACGGTTCCTGTGGCACATCGTAAATGCCTGGTTATGTGCGAATATAGGGGGAAACG